GCAACACATATTCAACTCTCGAGAGCTCCACGATTGTCTAACTCTTGAGAGACACACGCGTCAACCATAGATTATTCATCCGCCATTATACCTGAGACAGTCCCATCGAGACAGCGAGCGTAACAAACTCCTAGACAACATTCTCTCCACCAAAGAATCGTCCGTGCCGCTTCTCAGGCTAGTAGCACGGCCATGTGGATGATGGAACGTGGTCATCTACAACAGAAACTGCCAGATGCTAGCGGTGGCGTGCAACCATACAACATACAGGCAAGATCAACGCACTTATCGCACCACCTCGACTAGAGTACTACTAGCTAACTTACGGCGCTATCGCCGCTCGCGTGGCACGGGTCGCAGGATACAAATCTCATCTCTGGCAGGATTTCAAGTCTCGACGCCACTGCGAGTCTGCAGTGTATCACAAGACTCACGCGTGACATGACCCTTTGCGTGAGAGTGCCACGATGCAAAAGCCAGCAAGTACGCCTTTTACAGACTACAGCGCGCAGCGCACGTACAGCGACCGATCTGTCACAAACTGCCGTGCATTCTCGACTCAACGTGAGCAAACACTGCACGAATAGTACACCTCTGGAGTGAGACGTGACACACAACACATCTTCGCGTCTCTCATTACCTCCATCGTCCTCACGAACCTCATCTATCGTTCGAGCCCGTGATGGATACAGCGCGAGCTACAAAATCTATCGACACATCCAATCACACTACAAATCCACTCGGAGTGAAGTCCCCTGATCATGTGCTGTGCAGATTATTGGACCAATACTATGGTCGAGTCGCGTGAGACGCCATACTGGCTCTCATACCTATCACTAGAACACTATCGTTCGGAGCTTATACGCGCACGTTACACGCCATACACGTGTTGGCTTTGCATAGATGTTCCGACTAAAGCCGATAGCTCATGTGATAACCTCCAACTACGCACATACTGCTACGCCACTTCGCAAGTCAAACACAACTGCACAACGCGCGGTCTATCCGCGTATCGACACATATATTAGAGTGGACGGATACGCACACGAGAGAACACGACACACGATTCACATTACACTGTCTCAATGTTAACCTAACAGAGTGCATCTCTCTCATCTTGTAACAGAGCCAGACACTATACCGACAACACGCGAGAAAGGCGGCTCTGAGGTGCAACGCTGTTGTGATTGGCAATCAGCTGGGCCTAAAACCACACCGTGCTGGATGTGTATCTCACTGTCATCAACTCACACCTGCCATATAACGCAGATATCACCGAGTCGACAACAGATACAACAAGCTCTCCACCGTTGCACAAAAGTCTGTCTTTCACAGAGTCAGTGCATCATCCATCATTGATACCAACTCGCGAACCCTTTATAAGTGCGATCTACTCGTACTGCAGGCATCTTTATTCTGCGTGCCACTGACTTCATTGTACCGCTTTTAACAAGGTCACAATCGCAGTGATGTATCAGTGTCTCTCTGGTACATATCCTCCTCACAGGTAAGCGTGACAATTCTCACTGGGAGTGCACCTGCGAGACAAGCATCGAGCAGCTCTATGTATTGAGACAAACATTCTGTCCTCTCTAACCCCAATGCGCTGAGACCTCTGCGAGCAAGTCTTATGTCACTACCGATACAACGTGAAGCCAGCAAGTCTCTGGATCAGTAGAACGAGTCGCAATACTAGAACTACTCAATATTCAAGTCTGAGTAATGCTATGCCGAGAATGGCCTTCCGATACTACGCCTATAAGAGACTCAATACGCATCCACAGCACGCAGGCGCACCAGGGCGCCGATTCGACTGGTTAACATAGCAGATCGCCGTGCAAGGTGTTGCCCTGTGTATCAGGTCAGTGCACAGGTAATCAACACAGAAGAAGGGGCCCACGAGCCGGACTGTTCTCAGTGAGAGGATGGATAGTACCCAAGAATTGAGGAACGTAGTGTGCCACACCTGTGATCATAATACCATGGCAGAGCACCACTGGTAAGCTAAGCGTAAGAGCTCAACGCGATATGTCCGCGAGACTACAGGCCCCACCAGTGCGGCGCGATGATAGGGATTCTCGCCGAACTACTGAACAGGCGACACATGTCGGCAGGATATCTAGCGCGACGAAAGCCCAACGGCGCGATCTAGCAAGAGCGACGTGCGCAATCTGACACACAGCCACATGCTGGCAGAGGCAACCTAACACAAGCCGCAACAAGGATCATGTTCACTGAGCACCACTTCCCATACTAACCGCGTAACGCCCATCGGAAGCAACCAGAAGAGAGCTCATGATAGGAAGTAGGGCTCTGTTGCGCGACCTTCCTAATAGGAGGTTCTGTTGGCAGCGCGGATCTCGAGATCTCTCGGAGCTCACTGTACTCATGACAGTCAACTCCTCGCACAAACAAGACCATGAGCTATCGCGACCACAGCCAGAGCGAGATCGAGACATATTCGTAATATGAAACTTCTCAACACACACACATGTACTAACTAAGTATTGTCGGACACTCATGTGACATAAGAGCAATCGAGACTAAAGTGTCATATACGCCTCGTGACTTCTACACTTGCGGGGAGAGCATCCGAGAGGCCATTAGAGTAGATTCAGACACACAGATAGACATCCTGATGTAGTACCGATCCTATAATGGTCGGGGTTGGTGCCAACGTGTTATACTACTTGTCACTGATTCGAGCTTGGCCGTCAATCTTAGGTGATAGACTAATTCATGCGCAATCGAGAGCATCGTCTCGTTCAGTAGGTGAGGTAGAGGAAACACACAGAATGATCACAGCGCGCTAAACGGCGAAGTGGAAACTCGGCACTCTTGTCGCCAACCAACCAGATACAGTGCACTTTACAAGGGCGGGAGGGGTCGCTAATAGATGAGTAGAGGTGTGCTTGTCCCAAGTAGTCAAGACTCTTACCGAGTGAGGGAAACTATCAAATGTATTCGAGATAAAGATACGACTAACGCGCACTAGCTTGCGTCTCACTTTAGTACCATCTGCTCCTCACAGACACCAGTGCACATACAGTATTACACAACACATTACCCACTCATCACACAGTCGTGTGAGAGCTGTTTGACACACTTCAACATAGAACGACTCAAGACAGTGCCAGTTGTGAGATGACGAGACAACAACATGTAGAACTAGTGAGTGGGATCCTCAGCCAGCTAATCAACTGAGACATCTAAAACACTCGATAGTCATCACTACCATACCGCCGGCGAACTCAAAAATCTACATAAGCGGCAAGTAGACACACATGCGACACCAAAACTGTAGAGACTGTATCAGAGAGTGTGACCGAAAAGTGACGAAACAGATAACGTAATGTGACTATGGACAGAAAACATAGCGTGTTATGAGATAGTGGGTACAGGCGCTTTCTACGGTAGCCAGAGGACTTCACACTGGTGTCGGAGTCTTTGGGTATCAATTATATATGACATCACACAGAGACCTAATATCACGACAACTGTGTGATTCAAGAGCTATCTGATACAGAAGAAATTTGTGTGAGCGCGCGTCGTTCGTGTCATGGTGATTTGATCGAGAGCCCTAGCGCAATCCATCGTATGGTGTCAGCAACAGGAGCAAATCTCTATCTGCTATCACAACTAGGTATATTAGAACAGAGATGCGACTATGGTAACCAAGAGAACACTAGACTGCTATCAAGAAAACGTAGCGACAAAGAGGTGTAAGATAAGTGTGGGATGATAGTATGACCGGAGACCTCTGGGATCACACAGCGCCCTCGTCAACAAATAAGTCGCGACAGCTCCTACAGAACACAGACACAAACCACCATCCGCGTGACACGCAGGTAGAAGCTCCCGTGGCAAACACCTCCACATACGACATGCTTCATCAACTGGGGTCTCTCAGCTGCGAGACTACCGAAGCGGCTCGCGCGCAGCGCTACTCCTTAGACAACTCAATTATGGCAGGACTTGTGTATTAGCGTTAAGTATCTACGACATGTATTTTGCGCGCAGTAGCAGCGATGCACCACTCTGTGAGATAGCATAGATACTTCTATCAAGTCAAACTGATAGGTGACATTAGTTCTATCAAACAAATGATCTCCTTGTATTGCACAGACTCAACAGAGCGTGAGCCACTGCACTATCGGCGTCCACGTTCTAGACATGCCATCTACTCTGAGTGTGTTGGAGACTACACAGATAGTTAGATGCACTCGTCACACAAGGGAACAGACACTCACAGTGGATGTCCCAGTAGGATCTAGCCGGAACGGATCATACGAATGCAGGAAAGTTTCTGCTGGCGACAATCAGCAAACTGATGAAGATACTTTCAAACGACTCTTGTATATTAGTGCTGCCTCTATGGGGGGTCGTCCGCAGAAGGTCGAGGATACATGGGTGGCCCTACAATATTAGTGAAGGCGTAGCTATGTCACAACACACAAGAGGAGATACTCAGAGGCCATTTTAGTGTTCTATCTCCGAACACTGCCATCTCGGCCAAATAAGCCATACACACGCGTCTACGTGAGATCTACCCCAGTTCTATCTTCACAGCAAAACATTCCTTTGAATAACAGCGACTCTGACCAGCACCATACGTTTCAACCTCTCTCAGGGATCCGCTGCTCCAACCTCCTATCTCTCACTACACAACACAACAAGCAATCACCCGCGAACTTGCGTACCGTTGTGTTGTATGGTCAGTTGATCTGGTTCGTTTGAGAGCACCATGGTAGTTTCACTCACTTAAAATGCAGTACATTTTGGAAAAGACGCTGTTGTACAGTAACATAGTTCACGTTTAAGCAAGATTGGTCAGCGTTTTTATTAATCCCTACCCAAAGCTCCTACGGCGATCGCACACAAACGTCCGATACGTAAGGACTTCTCTATAGTGAGCGGTGCGATTCTGTGAGATGTCTGAGCCATAGTCTATGAACCCACACACATAATCATACCACTCACAGCGATGGGCGAACTATACGATGAGCTTAGCACAGCGCATATTGCACACACCAGCTACATTTTATGAGCCTATCACAGCGAGCGCGGGTCTGAGACACAAGAACCCCCTTTTAGACGTTCAACACGACGAGCTAGACGATTGCGGCTTTGAGCACAACATACCACAGATCTCTTATGCGAGGCGTGATCACCTAGAACGTGAACACACACCTGCATCTCGATTGAATACACTAGACCTCGAGCACGTGGTATATATGGATCTCTCACGTGTAGATCTGCAGCGAATGGGTGTCCACACTCAAGATACCTCAGCCCTCAGTACTTTACGCACATCACTCCTCCCAGTCTCAGGAAAGGAAGATCCAAACGATCATTTGTGATAGGAGTGCGCGTAGAGGAGCACCTTATGCGGATAGCTGCACGCGGAAGGAAGACATCGAAATAACATGTGAGCGAGTAATCACAGCGTAACAGGACACAGGAACACGATCAAGGACTGACATCTTTCGCGCAATATCCACGAGTGCGAGAGGCCGGACATCGGCGACACTCGCCAAAATAGGCAATCACATCACGGATGCGCTAAGAGATCAGTTGGCAGCAGAGTCCTCAACTTTCCTGCGTTTATACTGTATACGCCATGGTCTCATTAGTTGTGACCCGAGCGATAACGAAGACAGCGCCTAGATACATATGCCTCGTGCCGAGCGCGCATACGAAGCAGAACAAATCACAACAAGATTAGTGCAAACCAACGTGAGCATACATGTCATTTGTCACACTACTCTAATATTGCTCCCGAGCGGCGTGCCGCTACCAGTACGTATGTCTAACAGCGCGCCCCGGTGGGATCGCTAGCTAGCCACAAGTGCCGATTTAGAGACACAGCGCACAGAATCAACCGAGAGGTCAGCGCACACCGTGACGAGAACAAGTCGCGATAGTAGGATTTGTCGCAGAGTGCGCGTGCAAACACGATGGACTAGGGGAGATTGCACAGCGGGATGATCGAGAGACCATCAGTCTCACTGTAGCTGATCTATCACCGGGGGAACACTACATTCGCAGATCCATCTGCCCGAGCGATTACGCTATCCTCTACACTTGGTACAAGTAGTCTTATACATAGGACTTGTAATCACAGTCTTAGAGAGAGTGTGGAACAGAGGAAACCTAGCGCCGGCACGGCTCAGTGTCACGGCCCACGAGTCCGAGATCGCCCACAGCCAATCCGATGCTATCTTAGGCGAACGCTCAGGAGGACGTTCTCTGAGCACATCAAGTTATGCTTCAACTCGCGACACTGGTGTCTCTGAGACGATCCTAGGTCGCGAGCGATTGGAGTTCACGAATTATAGTGGAAGTACCGGGTCAGGGGCGAAGGAAGGTCTGGGTCTGAGTTATACTTTCCCAGCAGGATGCACACATATTCGAGCACGCTCATCACACACAGGGCGCCGTTGCGGCGAGGTCGAGAAACGAGTCGAGGAATTTCTTTGCTGTGCTGGTGTGCACTGACATGCATCCACATACATTCGACCAGGAGCATGAGGAGAGAGAGCATCTCGACATCTATGCACTGTTGCGCTCTGTACAGCACAATTGAGATCAGTCAGGAGCATGATATCTATACTGCTACGTGTTGACGAAATTCGAGCCCAAGCAAAGCCGGGCTTTCTGCGAGAATGGCCAGTGTTATGACACTGATAACTTGGCCAACGAATCGCGTCGACTGATTGTCTTCTGCAGCACCGTTTCATAGTCTACTCACGCCAATGTTTTTAGATAGCAGCGATGACGAAGTTGAACTTAATTACTGCCTAGCATTACGGCGCCACTCTCGCAGCTGTAAGGCCTAACAATAAACGACACTCATCATACTATCGTAGTGCTCGTTGTAAATTCAAGATCCCACAAAGTGTTTGTTAGCTATTCTGAAAGAGTGGGACAGCTCAGGAAGCAATTTTATGCGAAAAAGGTGGTTCTCTCGCTCTGGTAGAGCGGATTTGAATTGGTGCTTCGATCGTGACAAAGGCAACTTAACAGGTTAGTTGTAAGCACCCTGTGTTTGAATGCGAGAGTATCTTTCAAACACCTGCCGGAAGATGGCAGCCCGTTTCGAGGAAGTGTTCTCTATATGATCTCTATACAACAAAGCGAATTAAGGCACGTGTCGCAACTGCGCCCTTTTAACTTCAGGCTGCACCAAAAGTTATCTTCTCTCTTCTAGGAATGCCGAGTTTGAGTCACCGCGGCCCGCCTCATACTGGCAGTTTGCTTTGGTGATAATGAGAATTACCCCTAGTACCTGTGAACTAGAGTCTGTGGCTGCGGGGAGTGACAATGCCTAAAAGAGACCACAACGTCAACCGTTTTCAGCTGTGAGATCATGTTTCAGTAACCGATGACCATCGCCAAGCTTAGCAACACATCTTTAATTTTCACGCTCTACCTAAAGAACATCGCTATCCTATTGAGCTGTTGTATAAAATTCAGTATAACGCTCTCGAGCTTTAGTATCCCACCGAGGCTAAAGGAGGCATGTGTGTGAGAATGCCGTGGAACGATTTGAGGTTCGGCCGTTAGTAGTGTGTGGCCTTTTTCCCAGATGGGATAAGACACTTTCGTTGCAACCGCATTTGTCCAACGGACTTCCAAACGCCTCCTTCTGACCAGTTCAAACGGTTTAAGGAGTGTTTCATCGACTAATATCGCCTGCGTAGTCGCCCGTTAAGAGTACTTTCATATAAGCCAAATCTGGTCCTTCATCAAGGCGCCATCGCTATGCTCGCTAGCTCTAAAACCGAAGTTCAGAAATGCATGTTGCATATCATTCTTCGCTAAGATAATAAAATCTTCCCGTCGCCATTGGCTCTAACTGCGAAACAAGTTGTATGGAATCTTTTAGGGCATTATACTCTATAAGTATGGCGCGTTGGCAAGCGGCATAGCTTCGGGGCGATCAACAACAAAGACCGTTATCCAAGAAAAACCTTTTTCTCGCGTATGCGGCCGCTGTTTCAAATCGTGACATTATGATCTATCTCTCTTAACTGTCCAGTGAGAAGTAACTATGGAACGCATGAATGAAATTTATGCTTAGACGATTCCTGATTTCTATGTCCTTTCGTGATTTTTTCTTACGATTGCTATGCGCGTCCTATGATATATCTCGAGCTCCGGATAGATGTTAGCCCATAAGATATTAGTGTTGTAACGCAATTGCACAGAGTTAAAGCCTTTCTCCAAATTAGTGTCTTATACATCTCACTCAAACTAGGTAAGTTTCGCCAGAGTTTTCATAGTTTGGAGGGACCATGGCATGATAATAAGTTTTGGGTTGGCTTCGAAGCTCATCAAAATGCACGTGAAAGCCCCTGGTCTTACCGCACTCTCGTCGAGCTCGAGCTCTACTTTACATTATGATTTAGCACGGTAGGTCTCTCCTATCCTCTCTCTCTCTCTCTAGGCACCCAAAAAAAAAAGTCAGACACTGTGGCGTAGTCTAGTCTCTATTTTGTTTGCTCGAGTGCAACTTGCGCAGTGCTTGCACCTTGCTCTCACGCTTACTTCTCTCTCAGTGACATCTGGAATGCACTAAAGATCTACTGCTGTATGTTCCCCCTCTCCATGCATTACACTTGCGAGCTACGCGTAGCCTAGCCAGAGATCTGTGCACCTAGCAGTTAGAGTATGCGGACCAGATGGTCCGCTGAGACACTGCGGCTCTAACTACTACAGCAGACTATTCATTCAGCATCACATTCGCAACATAGACACACTATTCCAAGGAGTGGGCAGCTTACACACTCAGTAGAGCCTCGATACGCGATCTCTGAGCGGCAGTCCAGTCGCGCGAAGCGCATTACAGCACACATTGACCATAGCAGAGGCAGCGACATAGCCCAGTACCCACCTTTAACACATGGATTAAGAAATTGCGACAAATGAGCACGCGTCGACACACTTTGGCTCTTGCGTTCACATCAACACACTTATGCGTGGGCTAGATAGCCTACCATTTTCGTCAGGTGACCTAGCCGCGCTTTAGCACACTTATACGGGTATATCGCGGCATAGCACAGTTCACACACTTGCCTCCAGCCAACAAATTCAGTGAGCGAGCGATATCTAACTTATCAGGCGCACAAGGAGTCAACAGCAACCCCAGTGATAGACATGGCGAATTCAAAAATCATGTGTGACACAGGTAGCAAACATCTTGACCTCACCGACTCTATAGATCAACTCTACTGAGACGAGCAGGCGCTACGTGCTCGCTCACTCAGCCAGTCACGAGAGTGCGATCGTACAATTAGAGCATCCACAATTGTATACCACGAGGATATAGTAACCTTCCTAGCTTCTGCAACGTCACATCTCCGCTGTGCAGCACACCGGCACCCTGCAGCAATTATATCACGACAGTGATCATACCCTATGATACAGGCACAAAATCTATCAAGCAAACTGAGACTGTGGTAGTACATACATCATGAATCGTCACAGTCGCGACAAACCGGTTAACAACATGTGCGACGTCTCTAGCAGCAGTTAGCTATTCGCATCCTACGCTACGCGCTGCCTATCCTCTATAGGAGCCACTAAGACGTTAGAGGTCGTCACTGTAGAGCTGTCTCAGGAGAGTTAACGTGTAGCAGGTCACTGAGACTCCACACTATATTAGTGTTGCCAGGGGGGCAACACTAGAGCGCGAGGAGCCTTGATAGCGCACAATACTGGAGATCAGACATATAGCTATGACTATCCAACGGAACACCCATATTCAGAAGCCTCTACACCGACAGTGCAGATATTCACTTAGCCGTGACTGTCGCCTCTAACAAGATCACGTCGTCCGAGCCCTCAGGCGGTGTGAGTACCAATAACGCGAGCTCACGAGCAGTTCTCTTTTTCTACTCGGTTTCTAGATGCTACGGAGAGTCCAGAGTTTAGAGCTGAACTACAATACCGCGTGAGGAGAGTCTTTGACCTAGCACACACACTCATCTAAGAGGTCATAAGCTCCGCGGAGGTATAGACCACACGGCTGACTACCAACAACATTCATTGTGTAGACCACCCTAGGGACCAGAGGTGTATGAGCGCCATAAGATATTACAAGGTCCTATAATGACATTGGCAGCGAGCGGACACACACCCGCGGTGTCTAGGTGCTGGTGGTCTACTACCCCTTTCCATAGAGCGCACAGTAGTAGCCGCATCTAGCAGTCACGGCATCTTGAGATAGAACGGAAGAGGAATAAGGCGAGTCACCGAGACATCGATACATACGGTGCAGAAGTAGCCCAGAACGCTATCAGGATACACACAAGGTAACAGTCAAAAGTATACATTTGCAAATAGAGTGACACACAAT